AAAGCAAGAATCTCAGAAAGTGAAGACTGAACTAGAATAAAAGAAGAAGGAAGGAAAGACATTGCGGGGCTAATTGGTGATTTTGGTATAGACCCTGGGTTGGAATAATTGTGAATCTAGAAAACTGGAAGAAGAAAGAAGGAAAATAAAAGTTTTTGGTGGATTTCAATGATCACAAGGTACAAGAGTGTGCAATTATGATATCTCTTCGGGAATTAAAAATGGAACTTTAAAATATGAAAGAATTACTACAGGAAAGAGGTGAATCACTTTGCTCTGTCTTGGAAGCTATGGAAATGGTGATTGAAGAAGAAGAAGAAAGAACTTCAGAAAAGGAAGAGTTAGTTCAAGGAGAAGCCATCTTCAAGAGACAATTAATACATAGAACACCACAAAGAAGTGGGAAAAGAAGGGAGGTTAAAAATTTGAGATCTAAAAAGGTAATTAAAAAGGGGAATACCTGTGAAATTAGGAAAGGTAGAAAGGCGCAGCAGAAAAGAGGAAAAGAAGATATAGAGAGAGGGATACAAACTGGAAGGAGAAAAGATATGGGAAAATGAAGGGGAAGAGAGGCAATAAGAAACAAGAGCAGGAAATAAAGAAATATGGGAACTATAAAATGATGAAAGGAAACTGCTTTCATAGAGAGAATGGTTAAGGAATTTAAAAAGGGGATTCCGCATTGAGATGAGGAGTAATAAGAATATATTTGCAATCATAAAATACTTAGAAAATAGAATAATATAGAATATTAAAGAAGGGATGGACACTGATATTTTTTATTAGATGAATCTATATTTTTATTCTTAAAAGAAACGTTAATGTCTATTAAATAAATTGAATTAATTGAAATGAATTGTGAAGAAGTTTAAAATGAGATTAATATCAGTGACCAGAATTAGTTATTTTTTATTCTTATCTTTGTCTGGAAATTATAAATAAATTTTATAATCAAAGGGGGAAAATACATTGCAGAATCCGATTGAAAAGATATATAATGTTACGTAGTTTTAGGGAATAACTATTATTATTTTAACCACTGAGGTGACACACTCAAATGAGTAAAAGGGGGAGAAACCTATGTTTTTTTTCTCTTGTGTAAAAGCTTGTATTAATTTAGAATTATGGAAAGAATATACGATGAAATAGCAAATCTGACAGATAAAAGAACTATTCAAATGAGAAAAGAGTATTAATAAGTTAAGATAGATTATTAAGAGGAAGGAAAGACATTGATATTTTTTTATTAGGCAAACACATGTTATCTTTATTCTTAAAAGAAATATTAATGTTTAAATGAAACGAGAGGATGTTTAGATTGAGATTAATATTAGAGATCAGGATTAGTTTGTTCTTCTTTTCTGTAAAAGTTGGAATGGAAAAGGTAATAATAGAGTTAAGTAAAAATTAAATAAGATAAGAAGTTGAATGTAAAAAATGAATATATAACTATTGTCATATTTGCATGTAAAAGTGATGACCCAGAAATATGTTGTCCTCTTAAAAGAGCCTTTTAGTATTTGCAATGTGAAAAATTGAATAAAACTTGTTTTTTAAAAAAGAGAAAATAACTTTAGGCAAAGTCATTTCCTTCCACACAAACAAACCCATCAGCCTTTTATGTAGACAAATTCAGGTATTCACTTGAAATCCCAGAATGAATCAGAATTTGTGGAGCCTGCAGGAAACCAGGGGGTGGGGGGGACACCCCTCCCCTGGCACCTCAAAGCAATGACACCCCACTTCCTTGGACTCACCCACTCTCTACAAAAGCTTCACTTCCTGATTCAGCCAATTGCACAGAATGCCTGTCATGGCTTCAAGCGCCCGCAGTTCCATGCACCCGTGCCCCACCAGGAATCAGTCCTTTTGCATTCTAAAAAGACACGGCAGAGCATAGCCCACCAAGCAGCACTGGGGAGAATGATGTGAGCTTGTACAGAGAGGCCAAATTGGCTCTGCTGAGCCCGGTTGTTTTCAAATCATTTTAGGAAAGTTGGTGGCGATTTTAATCACAAGACGCCTTTTAACTTTAACCCTGCAGTTTCCTCCCTTGCCTCCTTTGCTTTGAAAAGCTGCTTTCTGTTTCCTTGGCTTTTGAAATCCAGCACTCTTCGATCAGCTGCTTGGGCTCGGTAGCCAGAGAAGCGGCTTTGGATTTCAAAAGTGGCTGGGCGCACTTGGAGGCAGGAGGAGGCACAGCGCGATGGGACTGTTTTGTTTGCCACTGAGGGAACAACCCATCAAAGCTACTGCTGAACCCAATGTATGTAGAGGAGACTGCAGGGTTAGTTTGGCCAGGTAAATTATCCCTGCCCCAATGCTATCAAAGTGAATTCCTGGGTGCCGCGCTGCAATGTAGAAATGGGAAATGTAGCAGCCAGCATGAGGAAAGGAGGGAGAAGGAAAGTGGCCTCCTCACCTCATGCCAGCTACTCTGTTGCCCATTTCACCATTGCAGTGCCGCGCCACGGAGCTTTCCCCACCCACCACCACCCAGATGCCCTCCCTTCTTCCAAGGATTTCTTTGTCTGCCTGATTTCCAGCTCCTTTGTGTTTCTCACCATCATTCCTATGCAGGAAAATGAAAGTTTGTGTGGGGCTAAAGAAGAAATTAAATCAATCAATTCCGACTTCTCATGATTTTTTTCTTTCGTGAGAAGTTGGAATTGATTGAACTTTTTTTTAGCCCTACACAAACTTTCATTTCCCTGCACATGAACGATGGCGAGAAACGCGAAGGAACTGAAAATCAGGTAGGCAAAGAAATCCTTGGGGAATTTGTTCTCAGCCAGGGTGGCCATGCAGCTTCTCGGTGCCACATGGCATGCAGCTGTGGCTTGAAGCAAGGCAAACAAGCTGGAGGTGGGGAGGCTGGGATAGTGGGGGGGCAGCTTGCTAGGCCGCAACTTGCAGGTTTACCTGGCACTGGCAGGCAGATCAGTTGGGCCTCTGGCAGGCAGGCGATGTCGGGCTTCAAAGTTGACCGGTTTATCTCCTGAAGTGAATCCCGACACATTATCTTAGTTGGGGAATGAAAGTCCGATCCTGCCATTTACAATATATCAACTTGATTGGAAAACCTCTCTTACTTTTGAAGATCCCATCCCAGTTCGGCTTATCTCGTATCAGCACGAACATGAAACAAGGATGGGGTGGGAGAAGGTTTATCACTCCAACTCTTCTTATTACCCGAAACGAAACACAAACAATCATTGGGGAAGCTACGGCACAACCTGGGAATTGAAACCACATTCTGTTTTGGTAATTAGTTGCGTTTAGAATTGCGGGGTGGAGGCGTGGAGGACTAATGGGGAGGGCGGATGTGAGTTAGCTGCATAGGGTGGGGCTGCATGATAAATTGCACTGAGAGACGAATGATCTCAGCGCTAACTTTATCTGGTATATCCGTTGTTGCCGTGTTTGAAGGAAAATGAGCGAAAATAAACATACCTATTCACAATGAATCCTGTGAGTAATATAGTTTATTGCTAGAATTCCTACGTGTACAAACGAAGGCTTACAAGCGAGGAGCCACACAGACACAGTGTGTGTGCTGCTATGCCGGAGAGGTGAGAAAAGTAATGGCAGGGTGAGCGCTCTCTTAGAACCAATCATGATTGCGCAATTGGTTCTAAGAGAGAGAACCTCGTGCAGGTGCAGCACAACACTCAGAGACCACCCTCTGTGCTGTTTTTTTAGCTCAGCTGCGGCCCACCAATCAGCTCTTCCAGGCGAATCAACTGAGCTAATAAACAACAGGTTTTTTGATTGGTTCGGAAAACTGGTAGGGACTGAGGTAAGAGGTAAGAGCGGGATGGGTAGGCGGGGCTAGTCAAAATTTTCCCTACCAGTTCTCTAAACCAGTCAAATTTTTCCCTAGAGAATCACTCGAACTGGTCTAAATCCCTGAATATCACTCCTGATTTTCAACTTCCTACAACACTGCAAAGGTATGTTAGCATAAGGACAAAAATGGGGGGGGGGGATTTGTTTAAAAATAACCATTCTTGGTGTACTTGTCAAAAACACACTGTCTGCAGTCAAATCCTCTTCATGTTTTGTAAAGCTGTACTAATCTTCATTTCACAAAAGATGCCAACTGTGATCCTATCTGACAATGATTCATAAGTTTGCAGTCTTTATGCAGCAAAATTTTCTGTGACACCCACTAAAGAACGGGTGGGCTGCAATTGCATAGTCACAGCCTGATGATGACTTTTTGGACACACACACATGCACACCCCAAGTGCCCTTGCACAAGTGCTTTAATGACTTGGAGAAAGGTGCTTCATAATGTGCAAACCCAGTCAATCTCTTCTCCAACATTTGCATAAGCTTAATTGCAAAATAGGGATTTGAAATTTGGCACGAGTTTTCTCTGCACTGAATAAATTCAAAGTATAGAAATCATCTGAAATGTACTTTGACCTCATAGTTTTTTTCTTCTTTTTATAAAAATAAACCAATTCTGCTGCAGGTAATTCTCATATGCAAAGTAAAAAACAGTAATTTGGAGAAATCATTATTTGCTTAAACAAAGTATTTGGCTTTTTGTATTCTTTGCTAATAAATAATTACAAAAATAAAAAAGAATAAAGCAATACACTTGCAAATATAAATTTGAAATCTATCCTAAAAATTCTTTATAAATAGTTTTAATGTATAATTGATCCATTTTACTATTTTAATATATATCCAGTTTTTTGCTGCATTACAATTGCATCTGGCTTTTTAAAAATATGTGAAAATTTCCCAGTTTACGAAAAAGTATGAAAGAGTGGATCCACTATTTGTTAATGGCCAGAACTGATTCTCATTTGACATGCTACTGCTACAATGCCATATATTTCTACTTCAATTGAGAAAAACAATGCCATAATGGAATTTTCATAAATTAAGTTCTAAATTGTGTAAGACTAAATAATGAAAAAATAGAATCACCAGGGACTAGAAATACTAAAATAGAAAGTGAGCGATAAGAAAATGTTTCTGTAGAATTAAATTTCATCTTCTGACTCCTGTTCTCGCTCAGTTGGTTTCAGTAATCCAATTTCCATGGATGGGACTTGCATTATTTTGGTATGAACCACCCTGGAGAAGAAAAAATGCAAGAACAATTCATGCTACATCATCACACATTCTTCATCAATGATGAAGGAGAGGATAGTTATTTTTATATGAGATGGTACATTGAATACAAAAACCAATTCTAATATTCCATCTATTTTTCCAATATTTAACCTTCTTTTTCCAAAGTTCATCTTATTATACTACTGTATGGCCAAGAAATTAATCTGCATACATATTTATATGGATGGATAAATGTACCCCTCATTCTTAATGCTTATGTCCAGTGGCAACCAGTTTAATATATTTTAATCTGTGTCACATATACATCTGTGATATATGAAACCCAATGCATGGCTTAATCTGCTGCCTCAATATGTTTTTGTCCTTCAAACTTGTATTCTAATCTCAGAGAAGTACAACCTATTGGGAATATTAAATTATAAAACAACAAAAATAATAGGCATAATCAAAGCTTCATTTTCCTTAGTTTTATATAGTAAATTATTCTAAACCTGTGTGCTGCACTGAAGGATTACATAGATCTCAAAATAATTAAGCTAACTAAAAGTATCTCAGGAAGAAATTAAAGAGTTGACATTCTTCCAGCACTAATATGAACAGTTTTTATATTTATTTGTATACAACTATATACGCAATTTCTTTGCAATTTATATGCAGGCATCAATGAACAATTACGTATTGCAATTTCTTTGCAATTTATATGCAGGCATCAATGAACAATTATGCATTTTAAAAGTTGTAGGCTGAATGAGACTTCCGGTTTGCAGGGCTTTGGCGGCAGGCAGGAATCTGTGATCGTGTATGGTTTCTGCCTGGGCTCACCACTGGAGCACCCCAAACCATTTGGCTTCGGGGCTAAGCCACCCCGTAGAGGTGGTCAAGAGGGGGGAGATTCCAGCAGGGTCGAGGAAAGTCGCATCTTTCCTCCTCAGCTGGCTAAACTCCCTTTCCCGAAGGCAGTAAGAGCAGCGGTCAGAAATGGCCACCTCAAAGAAGCACTCATCTGGAAAAGAAAGTGCAGGAGGAAGTTAAGAAGTGAAAGTTTTGGCTGACCGGGATAAGAAGCAATGACTAAGGTATCCTGGAATTTAAATTTCAAAAAAGATACATCGCTCCCAAAGTGGATTCGGAACCAGCGAATGAAAGTGAAAAGGGAAAGTGTTTTTTTCACTCTCCTTCCTTATGTTGACAGCGAACAGAGATGAATGAGAAATCAGAAAAATCCGCTTTGGCATCAACAGGTAATTAAACTGGAAAAATAAATGCCAAGGGGACAATAAAGATTTCTGAACACTAAAAAATTTTTTTTCTTTGCTGTAAGTGGGAAAGGAGAGGAAAAGAATAAGAGTAGGATTTGGAAGGAGGAGGCTGCCTGGGATTCAAATAATCTAAAGTTAAATCTTAACAAGACTTCTAAAAGATACATTTTAACTGGAACTTTGTAACTAAATAGTAACCCCAGGAAGAGAAAGTGAAAAAAGAAGAAAGTGTTAAAAGAAACAGCTTGTGTGTATTTGGATTGCTTGGTGACTTTGGGACTTCTGGAAATTATATTTGAATAATTAAAAACACTCGGGTGGTTGTTTAAAAAATTTTTTACAATGGAGAAGGGAAGGGCTCTCTTGGCTCCGTTTTTCAATTTTTAGAAATGGCGATCTGTACCTACAAGAAACTACAAGAAAAGACTGCGCAACAAGAAGATTGGGACAAAGAAGAAGCCATCTTTAATGAACAAATAACTTTACTTGGGGAAAAAAGGGAGGGGGGAAAGAGAATGGAGAATTTAAGATCTAAAAAAACAACCAAAACAGGGGAAAATAAGGTGAAAAGTGGATATAATGTTAGAAAGCAACAGAAAAGGAGAACACAGAAGAGGGAAATGGAGGTGGAGAGACAAGGGGGTAAAAAGGGCAGAGAGAAGAAGCAAGGGAGGAAGGAAGGGAAGAGAAACTACAAAGGTGTGGAGCAAGATGTAAAGAAACAGGACTTATTCAGAGATAATGGGTAAAAATTTAATTGAAAAAGCGATTCTGCAAAGGTACATAAGATTGTATTGTTATATTTGTATTAGAAATAATGTTAGAAAAATTGGAAACAACATATGATTAAAAAGTGGGATAAAATACTCAGTGTAATTCAGTGAAACTTTTGTGAACAAAATAAATGAAATGAAATAAATGAGAGAATTGAATTAGGAAGGAATGGGAACATTTTAATGACACAATGTTTTAAAATATAAGTGAAGTGGGAGGGGAGTAATTATGGAAAGTTTATAAGTGTTCCCATAGAAGCATGATACCTATTTGAAAAGTAATGTGTAAAATGTTTAAGATTTAAATGAATATTAATATTAATGATAGAATTGAACTGGCATGGATTGTTATTCTAGTTATATTATATATTTATAATTTTTTCTCTTTTTAAAATATAGTGTGTAGCTTTAGAATGTACTAAGCAGAATCCGAATAGAAATTATGTATTATATTAAGTGTTATAAATTTAGGGGAAAGATATAAAGGCGCCATACTCCAATCAGTGATTACAGGAGAAATTTTGTTTAATGAGAAAAGATAATAGACAGCTGAAACAGGACAGACAAAGAATATAAGTATAATGATCTGAATTGAGATGAAATAAATAAAATAAAATTAAGAAAGTTAAAAGAGAGGAGAAGCTATATAGAAAATGTAGAATGGTAATAAGATATGGAATGATATATAAAAATGAGCATGAACTTGAATTTGTATCTGTACAAAGAGGTGTAACCCGAGATCAAGCTGCTTTCAAAAAAGATGTTTTATGTTTTTATGTTTTATGTTTTGTTTGTTTGTTTTTAAAAATCAATAAAATTTTATTTAAAAAAAAGCTGTAGGCTGAATGCTATAGCATCTGTAGACTACTATAATTTTTCATTCCTATCCAGTTGGAGGACCTATTTTTGAATGTATGGGGATTTTGAATAAAATAAGAAATTCTTGACATTTAAGTGGAACTCTTTAAAATACCAATAATATTTACTTACCAGCTGACTAGAGTATAATTGACTGCCATGATAAGCAGTGTAATTGCATAATGCCAGCAATAGCACATAGTCAGAAACATGATATTATTGTGATCTTCTTGGTTCCATTCTGTACTTCCACTTGGAGGATAAAGGACAAATCCAATCTGTGAAAAATAGAAAAGGGCATTAGAAATACTGTTTTTTAATGGGATTACCTCCCTCCAATTATATTTGCTTCTCAATAAGATCTGGTAGGGTTTCATGCTTCAGGGCCCATCTCTTAAACTAGTTTCCCCAAAACTAGTTCACATGCCTTTTCTCAAGCTGGTTTACCTTATGTAATAGCATACCCCTCCAGATTCACATGGGCCCAAATTTTCCTGGCATTGGGTCAGGGGGATTTGTACAGCTATCTGGGATGGCCGTTTCAAATTTTGAATTACCTTTGGTGAAAACTGCTTTATGTCCTATATTTTAAGTTTGTTTATTTTTTAGTATCATCCTGCATTGTTTTTGAAAGGGTGGCTATATAAATTGCATAAATAAATTGTTATAAGATTTTCTTTCTACCTTGTGTGTTCTTTATTATAGCTTAAGGCTAAGGTAGGCTACATTTTTCCCCATATAGTTAGTAGTGCTGAAGCATGTGGTAAATGGAGTAGAAAGCAAAGTTTATGCCACTGCTTCTTTGAAAATGCCTATTCTCGTTCTGATATCCACTTTTTTCTGCTCTCTCACTTCCAATAATTCTGATGAAAAATTTATCTCTTGCCCAGTTCTTTAATTAGGCTGAAGGCCACATAAACTGAAATTGAGGGCTGCATATGCCAAAAAGATGGCAGATCATCTGCCTCTATTATAAGAATGCAGAGTTAAAATTGTTTTATATCAGTCTTGCGTACAAAGGCATTATTTAGGTCTTTGGAACTTTCCAGTATCTCCTCCATTATACTAAGATAATATGGAGAAGGCTGATTTAGATATTAACTTTATTTGATATTCACTATATTTGATATTCATTGGGCAGGCTAGAAGAATCTAATCACAATTATTTACCTTTAAATAGGTTCCATATGCTACCTAGGTTTCCATAATAATAGAAAGATGAGATCGAAATTAAAATTCTACAAGAAAAGTTATAACAATACCTATTATCCCTTTCTATTCTAATACTAAAGTTAGCTATCCATCCTTATAAAAGAGGAAATATCAAATAAGTTCAAAGTAAGGTAGTCCTGTGCCCAAAGAAATGCATCAAATGAAAACATTCTAATAATCCTGCTAATGAATGATCAGATCATAGCATCCATAAAGGCTTCCTAAATGCTGCTAAATCCTAAAGACCTCTGCTTTCAATAAACAAGCAAGTATCATAATTGTTTTGCTACATTTAAACACATGTAGCATAAATCCTAAAATGGGTTTAAATAGTTTAGTTTAGTTTACTTTTACTGTCATTGCACCTCGTACAACGAAATCAAACATCATCTTCAGTGGACATCCTGACCATGATCATGAAAATAAACACAAACACACATCCTTCACCCTTCACACATTGAATCGAAAACCCCCAACACCACACCAACACTGCACTATACAGCAGAATTTAAAAAGAGCTACTGCCCTGGGATAGAAGCTGTTTTCAGCCTATCTGTCCTTGTTTTTATTATTCTGTAGCGTCTGCCAGATGGTAATAATTCAAAAAAAGGGTTCCCAGGATGAGATGGATCTTTGAGAATGTTCTGAACTTTCTTAAGGCAGCGGGAGCTATAAAGCTCTTCCAAAGAGGGGAGAGGGCAACCAATGATCTTCTGGTCAATGACATTAACCCTCTGGAGTGCTTTCCTATCTGCCACTGTGCAATTGGCAAACCATACAGAGGTGCAGTATTTTAAAATGCTCTCTATGGTGCAGCAGTAGAAGGTCACCAGCAGTTTTTCATTCAGTTGTTTTCTGAGAAGTCTCAGGTAGTATAATCTCTGCTGGGCTCTTTTTACCAGGGCTGCAATGTGGGCACCCCAGGTCAGGTCCTCTTTTAGGGTAACACCCAGAAACTGAAAACTGGCCACTTGCTCCACTCGGTCTCCATTGATAAGCAAGGGCTGGATGTCTGATCTGTTCCTTCTATAATCCACTATAAACTCCTTGGTCTTATTGGTGTTGAGGACTAAGTTATTGTCTTCACATCACGAAAGCAACTGGTCCACCTCATCGCGGTAGGCAGACTCATCCCCCCCAGAAATAAGTCCCACCACTGTTGTATCATCTGCAAATTTAGCAATAGTATTACTAGCGTGAGTGGGAATGCAGTCATGCACATAAAGTATGTATAGAGTAAGGGACTCAAGATGCAACCATGTGGTGTACCAGTGTTAAGAATAAGGGCTGAAGAGGTATGATTACCTAATCTTGAACCTTTGTGAGCGGCCAGATAGGAAATCCATAATCCAAAGGAAGATTGAATTAGAAAGCCCAAGGTCCAGAATTTTAGACACTAGTCTATGTGGAAGAATTGTGTTAAATGCATAACTAAAATCCACAAAAAGCATCCTCACATAGCCCCCCCTCCCCCACTGTTCTAGATGAGTCAGAGCACTGTGAAGAGTGATGGCTATAGCGTCCTCTGTAGATCTATTTCTTCTGTATGCAAACTGATGTTTATCAAATGTATGAGGAAGACCAGAAATGATGTGCCGGCAGACCAATTTCTCAAAGCACTTCAAAGCACATGAGTGAGTGCCACTGTTCTTTAATAGTTGAGGTTATTGATAGGGAACTTCTTTGGCAGCGGAACAATGGTGGAAGCCTTCAGACAAGATGGAATAGTGGCCTGGGATAAAGATCGATTGAAGATCCTGGTAAAGACTCCAGCCAACTGATCAGCATAGTCTTTAAGCACTTGGCCAGAGATACCATCAGGACCAGCAGCCTTTCTAGGGTCCACAGCCCTCAGAATGCTCCTCACCTCCTGTTCCTCCACAATGAGGTGGGGGCTACAATTGACTGGTGGTTGTATTTTATCTATCTCTGATGTCTCCACTTCAAAGCAAGCAAAGAAATGATTCAGTTCCTCTGCCAATGAAGCAGGGATGACATTGGTCAGTTGATGGTTTGTAATTTGTTGAATCCCTTGCCACACCTGCCTCAAGTTATTGCTATAAAAAATATCCTCAATCTTCCTCTTATACTCAGTCTTGGCCTTCAAAATACCTTTGTTCAGATTAGCTCTGGCAACACTGTATCTTGCCCCATCACCAGACCTAAAGGCCTTGGTCCTGTCACGCAAAAGGCGCTGGACTTCCTTGGTCATCCGGAGTTACTGGTTGGGATAGGTCCTAATATGTTTATCCACAGTGATAGTATCTGTGCAGTGTTTGATATAGCACAGAACAGTTGCAGTTACTCCTCTAGGTCAGGATGATGAAGGCGTCCCAATTTGTGTTCTCAAAACAATACTGAAGCTGTTGGGAAGCATCTTCTGGCCAAGATTTCACTGTCTTTATTATAGGCAGAGCCCGTCTCCTAAGAGGAATGTATGCTGGTGCTAAAAGCAGTGATATATGGTCTGATAAATAAAACACTAAAGTAGGCTTGATAATAAACCCATAATTCATAGAGAAGAAAAAATTGTAAAATTCTGACCTTACCCAAATATGCATGACCCAATGTAAGGTAATCCTTGACTTAAGAATCATTTGTTTGACCGTTTGAAGTTACAACATTACAAAAAAAGGTCCTTCCACTTACAACTATCACAGCATCTCCATGGTGACATGATTAAAACTCAGACACTTGGCAACAGGTATATATTTATGATGGCTGCAGCCTCCCAAGGTAACATGTTCATCATTTGTCACCTTTGCAGCAGGCTTCCAACAAGCAAAGTAAATGGGGAAACATCGCATGACTCACTAACTGCGATGATTCATTTAACAACTATGGCAAAAAGGTCATAAAACTGGACATGAGTCACTTAACAACTATGGTATCTTGCTTAACAACTGAAATTCTGGTCCCATCTTTGGTAATTAGTCAAGGAATACCTGTACTTTGCCTCACAGCTCTGCTAACCTAAGAGCTCATCTACCCTACCATTCATCTCTCAACCATTACCAAAAAATCCCTCTCTCTGATCATTAAAATGTTTGCCAATACTGCCTAATTTGTTATCTTGGTCTATCTCAGAGTTCCATGCAGCAGGACAGTGGAGAAATGCTGGCAGCTGTCTCTTTTCCCCTGAAGAAACAAGCAGACAGAGATAAATGACTGATGCAGGCGCTGATAGAAGAATGAACAGTGATCATCACTCTACTATAATTGTTTGCAAAAATTCAAAGTAATTTCCAATATCTACACTGCAGTCACCTTAGCAGATAAAAAGAAGCAAAAAAGGGTTGAAGTAATAAATAAATTGGTATCCAATAAATCTTCAGCAACTGTCTGAGGATCTCATTTGTTGATCCTGGTTCTAATCTCAAAAGTTGTTGGGTTTTGTTTTTTTTGTAAGAATGCATAGGAAACAGTGGTGGGATTTTTAAAAAAATACTACAGGTTCTGTGGGCATGGCTTGGTGGGTGTGGCATGGCTTGGTGGGCGTGGCTTGGTGGGCATGGCAGGGGAAGGGAAGGAAAAGAAAAATTATTCACTCACCTGCCAGAGCCAACTGCCATGCAATATACAAAGACTTGTTCGGAACATCTCAAGAACAATGCTATTGTGGAAAAAGACTTCCAAGAATATGCAGAGAGCACCTCCAAAGACAGTTATTAAAAGTAACTGATGAACATGAAAATCTAGCATGGAACGCCCATGGATGTGATAATAAAATAGAAAACCTGGTGAAAGGGAATGAGAAGTCAACTACTTTTTATTCTACAGGTTTCAGGCATGATTGCATTTAATTCTAAAAAGTCTTAGCAAGTTATAGAAAATCCTTGGAAGCTGTTATTGCTACCACAGGAGGAGATATAATGTACAAGTGTCATGGTCATGATCTCCTTATTTTGAATCTTTAAACATATATAAGATGTAGGCATTCACATTTGCAGAAAGATGGTATATTTAACTTTGTATACAGTTAACTTTGTATAAAGTTAAATAAACAAACAAACAAATAAATAACACAATCTATTTGCTTGAGCCAAATGCTTTAAGCAGATGCTAGATTAAAATAATTCAGGGCTCTACTGCAGAAGGTTTTTGGTTGTTTACATGTTGAACAACATCCTTGAGGTAGCCACAATGATTTTTGCTTACTCTCTTTGAATGTAATTTATCCTCAGACATAATGAATTCTTAATCTCTTTGAATAAAACAAGTCTTCCACTCTGCATGTATCCCTAATAAAGAATCAGGCTTATTAATTTATAATCTTTAAACATCTATTCTTGTTCCCTATTTCTGTTATATGTCATTTTGATTTGATAGTTATCATAATCGATAAACTTTGTCTATTCTTTTTCATTTGAATTCAGAAAACTTTTCTACATAAACAGTGCAGCAAAATACCATAAGCTCACCTTCCATAAAAACAGCAAGTGAGAGCATCATTCGGTCTAAGGCCTCTGGTAATACATTCGTACTGTGAGTCACAATGTCCACTAGCCCTGAGATGCCATAGAAGAGGTACATGGTTGCATGCTGCCAATTCATTAAGTAATTCCACTGCTTTTTTTCATTGTTATATAGCTTCAAATGAGGCCCATCAGGAACAAACTGCTCTCCCATCATACCTGGGTATAAATAACAAAGGAATATGGGAACTTTTTTTTTTTAGTTTTGGCCATTATGCAAAAAAATAAATAAATATTATTAAATATTATTAAATAATAAATATTAAACTGCTTCCAGATAAGAGAGCTGCTGTACAATAAGCCTACTTCAGAAATAAAATTAAAGTGGCTCCATAAATTACATATTTTATTTGTAAAACTGCCCACATTTTCTTACCATATCCTCCATATTTTTTCCTATCATGTATAAAAGCCTATAGAGAAAAAAATGACACTGCAAAACACACTTCCTTGGCTGTGATCTGTGTGAAAACATTCATACACTATCTTGCACATTTCCATTTCTTGAAACAAAGGTCACAACATCTCCAGTTTTATGCAATACCTATAATATGAGCAAATCACAGACCATAGCACCGAGTTTGTGAAATTCATTGCATGCTTATATTCATAAAGTGTCTTTGATGTTTAAATTACATTCCTAGGATTGACTATATTTTGCTATAGTATTCTTAAACTATTTAGATAGATCACCTGAATCTTATGTCAGCTGTAATGGTTCTATCTTCCAAAAGACAGGAACAACTAAATAAGCCCAAGAGAAATGGTCAAGGCTTGCCACTGGTTTCACCAAATACCGTATATCCTTGACTAATAATTAGTACACTCCTTCTGTCTGGGATGGTCATCCCCTTCCACTGAACAACTTCAGGAGGGATGCACATGGAACGATGAGGGAGGAAAGGGACACCCACCTAGCCAACCAGATCAGTCGACTCAACCATGGCAATCAATGGGATGACAGATGCCACATCCGGATCACCCTCACATCTACACCAACAGTTTCTTTACTTTACCTAATTGTAGGGCTGCTGGCTATCAAGAGATGGGATAAGAATGGAGCCGTACTTTGTTAACAAGACAATCTCACAGTTCATTTTATGTAATGATTTCTTTACTAGTTTCTTGAATAAACCACAACCAGCTATATTCATACATCATTATTTCATGAGAAGAGTACTATACTCCTCTGCTCGCAACAGAATACCTATATCACCAGGCTTGAGATTTTGAGCTTGGACAACTTTGAACTACACCACCTATGGTTAGACTTAAGTGCAGCACACAAAATTATCTGCTACAATGTCCTACCAGTCAATGACTACTTCAGCTTCAACCACAACTATACAAGAGCACACAACAGATACAAACTCAATGTAAACTGCTTCAAACTTTATTGCAGAAACTATGACTTCAGCAACAGAGTGGTCAATGCCTGGAATGCACTACCTGATTCTGTTGTTACATCCTCTAATCCCCACTCCTTTAACCTCAAACTATCCACTATTGACCTCACCCCATTCCTAAGAGATCTATAAGGGGTGTGCATAAGTGCACCACTGTGCCTACAATTCCTGTCCTATTGTCCCCATTTATTCATGCCTATTTCCTGTATTCTTACTCATGTTCATACTTATACCTATTATCTTGTAAACAATTGACAAATCAAATAAATAAAAAATAAAATAAAAAATCATGTCAAGCAATACTCATTCGAGATGTTAACAAATGAGTATTGCAATAGTGGCCAATATCTGTAGCGCAGGTGTAGGATGAGAGTGGAGGTTCATTCTCCGCGCTCATGGGCTGGTTTCTGAACATTTTGTTACCAAGCTAGGTATCATCTTCAGAGGAATTTGGAGAATGTCAGTGTTGGTGTTCTTATAAGAACTTGCCCTATACAAAGTCCTTATAAGCAGAAGAATACCAACACTGACGTTCTCTAAATTCCACTAAAGATGTTACCTAGCCTGGTAATGGAATAATTGGAAACCAACCCACAAGCTCAGAGAATGAACCTCCACTCTCATCCTACACCTGAGCTACAGATATTGGCCACTATTGCAATACTTATTTGTTAACACCTGGTTTAGTGAAGCAACCATTTTGGAAACCATTTTTCAAAAGTGTTAACTTCAACTTCCCTAATTGCTCACTTTGTGGTTTATTAAATGTTAGAAAGAATAAACAGCAATATAACCATACAAGCCAGTATAATCACAGAATGCTTATCCTGATAAGGACAAGTAAAACCATTGTGTCCCCTACTGAAGTTCTAGCAAGATATGGTTATTTTCTCCTTGGAAAGATATGGCTCCTACTTAGAGTTATACTTTAAGAATAATAGAATTTTTATTAATTTTAAAGATAAAAAGTTAAAATATAAAATTACAAAAAAAAAAAAAAGAAACCGCAAGAAGGAGGTACAATGGGAAAAGTTCGAAAGCAGCACATAAAATGAACTAAAACAATATAAAGAAAACTTCTAACTTTTCTCTTCGATACAGCTACAATATAATAAAATAATATCTTGTTCCAGTTTGACAATAAAGCTAAAATATATAAGATATATATCAAATAACAACACCAATGTATAATAGTATCCTACTCTAATAAAACATATAGCCTAAAATGCATCATAAAAACAATCCAAAAAAGATGTGTATATTTTTTTAAAGATTAAGGTATAAAATAAATAGGCTAGTTGTTCAGTTTTGTTACTGAATTTTACCTCCATGCAGAGAAACAACATTCAACACTACATAAAATCCAGACTACAGTTTGGCATCAGCTATAAATTGCTTCAAAGTTAATATTTCAAAAAAAATATTTTTGTTTTAACGGTACCTTAAATCATAATCATACTTATTTAGAATTACATTTTTTTTAAAATAAAATCTTACCAATAAGAGCAAAGACAATCTTGATTATGCCTTCAATAAATTCTAAGCGTTGAAATCCTGCCTTGGAACCAAGATAAATATTTTTCCTCTTTTGACAGAGGTACCTGAACGGGTATTTCACAGACCACCACAAGCCAAACAAAAGGAAAAAACTTCCAGGAAGAGCATGACCTTTAAAATTGCCCATCTTTTTCTACTGTGGAAAAAGCAGTTCAAAAAATAAAGTAAATTTCAGAAGAATCTCATATTCATAGACAAAATCTAAGATGTAGCTTATTATAGTTGAATCTAGTAGTAAATTATATTTTGTTGCAGGAATGAAACACAATTCCTAATATTCTGAACTGTATTTGACAGGAAAAGCATCTGTGCCAGATTTCAAAACCTGTTTGTATAAGAGATATTTATCAGAAATTTATTTTATTCTTTTTGTCATAGATATTTCCCAAGGTTTTGATCTTCCTCATTGCCTTCACATTTATTTTCATCACAATGCTCACTGCAGGTGTAGGGAACTGAGACAGCCATGAGGGAACCACTGAAGTTCTTTTATGCTGACATATCAAAGCCCTTGTAATACAGGGCCTTGTATTCAGAAATGGGTATGGATTTATAATTCTATTTGTATGACTGCATAGTTAGAATATGTACCATATACCCATCACTCCTCTTAGTAGTCAGTTTGCTTTGTTTCCCTATAAGATTCCAATAATAGGCTCAATACTTAAAAAATATGCTACAATAAAATACTTGAGTGTTGTTTTCTGACCATCCCAGAAACTTTGGATTAGTGATAGAGCTACAGATTATATATTGTAAGTAAGGGACAGTGGAAAATTGTTCTGGGATGAGAAGTACAGAGAAAGATAAACATAGCAGTTGTTAAGTGGGTCATGCCCACGACCCTTATCTTTTTTTTTGCCATGACTGTTAAGTGAAGCATTGCAGTTGTTCAGTGAATCATACAGTCATTAAGGAAATTCAGATTCCCTCATTAACTTCGTTTGTCAGGAGACAGTGAGGACTCTGGAATGCTGCAGCTGACATGTAAAATACCTGTCAGTTGCCAAGCGCCCAAAGTTTGTTCATGTGACCATGGGGCTGCTGCAATAGTCGTAAGTATGAGGACTCGTTTTAAGTCACTTTTTTCAGTGCTATTGTAACTTTGAATAATCTCTAAATGAATGGGTTGTAAATTGAGGGCTACCTCTGTTTGTATGCATACTGTATAGATTAAGATTTATTTATTTTTAAAAAAAGTTTTTTATTTTAACAACAAACAAAACAACATAAGACATACAACATAAAAGATAAAAACATCATCCTTCTTCATAAATTTACAAACAGTGTATCGGTTGGTTTACCACTTTTTTGTGTGCATCCATTTCCTAAACGCTAATATAATTATATTACATAATAACTCATATTATCAATCAATAATTGTATAACCCAATATCATCACTAAGAAATCGTTTATCTATAATTTTATTAACTCATACTATAACGAGATAACTATAATTTACTTAATTTATTTTGCAATAAATCATAAGATCATACCATATAATATATAACTCTTAATAAAGTTTTATAAAAATAATATTAAAAAAATTATATCCTAAATCTAAATGTTCTATTATTATGTTTTATTATCTAACCATTGATAAAAAAGATCCCAAACTTCATAAAATTGTTTATCTTCTTGTTCTCTAATTTCAAATGTCAATTTACTCATTTCAGCACAATCCAATATTTTCTTAATAATTTCTTCCTCTGATGGAATTTTCTCACTCTTCCAGTTTTTAGCAAATACAATCCTAGCCGCCGTTAATACATTTACAATCAAATACTTCAAATTTTTATTATATGTATCAGGTAAGATTCCCAATAAAAAAATCTCTTGTTTCAAATCTATATGTGTCTTTATCATTTTTTCCAACCATATGCGAATTTTAGTCCAATATTTTCTAGCATCCTCACAAGTCCACCACATATGGTAGTATGAGCCAGGTATCTGATGACATTTCCAGCACTTTTCAGATTTGTTCTTGAACATTCTTGCAATTCTTGTCGGGGGGAAATGCCACCTGTAAAACATCTTATACAAGTTTTCTTTATAAGCTGTTGGCATTGTCATTTTATAATTTTGAGACCACAATTTTTCCCATTTCTCCAAATCAATCCCGTATCCAAAATTCTTCCCCCAAACAATCATCGTTTCTTTAACTTGTTCCTCCTCTAATATAATTTTCAACAGATAACTGTATAATTCTTTAATCACTTTTTCATCAGTACCTGTCAAGATCCTATCTAAATCAGTCAATTTATCATAAAATCCCTCCATTTTAGAATCTATAAGATACCTTGAATGTATTTGCGCATATGAAAACCAATTCATCTTTATGCCTTGTTCTTCTAGTTTTTGCATTATTTTAAGTTCAGTCTTTTCATCCAATATTTCCCCATATCTAACTGTTTGTTCCTTCTCATATATTATAGGATAAGAAAAGGCTTCAATAGTTGATAACCAGACTGGGATTTTCAAATAACATTTTCTCTTAATTTTCTCCCAATTCAACCATAAAGACTCCCGTATGTAATGCCTTCTAAAGTAGCCCTGCGATTTAGTTCCCTTATACCACAGAAAAGCATGCCATCCCAGTAATAAATCATGTCCTTCTAATGTCAACAATCTGGTCTTTCTTAATGTTATCCATTCTTTAACCCACATTAAATTTGCAGCTTGGTAGTACAACTTCCAGTTCGGAAGGCCAAATCTTCCTCTAATTCTAGCATCTTGTAGAAGTTTTAATTTTATTCTGGCTTTCTTACCTTGCCATATAAACTTCAACACAATTTTATTTAATTCTTCAAAATAATCTTTACCAAGTCTAATTGGTATGGTCTGAAACAAATATAAAATTCTGGGTAAAATATTCATCTTGATTGTTGAAATTCTACCTATCAATGACAATTGTAAGTTTTCCCATTTCTTCAAATCAGATGCTATCTGTTGTTTAAGTTTAATATAGTTATTCTCTTTCAATGTAGTACATCTTGACGTCAAATATATCCCCAAATATTTAACCTTATTCGTAACTTGAATTTTCAATAAGTCTGCCAGTTCATCTCTTTGTTTTGGTAACATATTCTTTGTCAAGATCTTTGTTTTATCTTTGTTTATTTTCAGACCCGCCATCTCATCATACATCTCTATCTTTTCCAATAATTTTAAAGCTGTTTCTAGAGAATCTTCCAGAATAAAAACCAAATCATCCGCAAAGGCTTGCAGTTTAAATTCCTCCTTCTTAATTTTCATTCCTTTTATATTTGGATCCTCTCTAATATTTCTGTTCAGCACTTCCAAAGTCAATACAAATAACAAAGGTGATAATGGGCATCCTTGTCTTGTGCCTTTTCTTATATTAATCTGTAAATTCTCCCTCTATCATTACTTTGAGATTAAGATTCATTTTTTAAAAGGACAAACTACCTAATGTGATGACTCCCCCAGATGCTTCCCTGATACCTCTCCAAATGTCAGTTCAGAGGAGGATGAATCAGTTCTGGGCACATCTGGAGCCAGCTGAGAGGGATTTTACCTGAAGCACAGCTGCAGCAGGACAACACTGATGCTTCTAGTGGGGAAATCATGCAGCTGCAGCCAGTCAGCAATGAAAAAGAAGAATTGCCTTCTTGTGGATTAATTGGCCATTGTTCTGTGTTCTAGCATTAGTCTGCTTTTGGCTGGACTTCATTGTGATAGTTCTGGGGTTTTGGTGGAATATTAATAAACCCATTAAACCGTTGTTGCATATGCAACGGCACATGTTCTTTGTATTGGTTGTTTACTGTTAATGTATTTGAATTGATAGTTCCTTGATTGGGGTATTGTTTGCTTCTTGATTGTTGGTCTAAGGTTAATCTTGATATTAATCTTGCTTTATTTGGATGTTGATTGCTCATGAGGTGATGTTTGGGTCTTTTTGTTTCCATTTTTGGCTTTTTTGATTGAAATTAAGCATAGAAGACACAGGGGAGGATTCAAATTTTTTAACAACACCCTTTGTTATTAGCTTTGTTATTTGTTATTATTGACTGAGAATCTCTAAGACATTACTAGTATACCTGTGCTGTCCAGACAGTTTAGAGTTAATGGGATTTGGAATAGTTAGGAATTGAGAGCTGTCCCCTTAAGGAATGCATCCTTATGCATCATGAATGCATAAGGATGCCCGATGAACCAATAAAAAAGACTTTGTATGGTTGCTTTGTGGAGTTGCTGTCTGCTTTATACCCATCCAGAGAGTAATAAGCAGAACAGTACCACATTTCTGCAAAAAAACTTATAGTCATACCACTGCTAATACTAATGCTGAGTGTTTCATTAAAACAACCCAATATTTATGATATAAAATTTAAAATTGTCCAATGGTGCTCACAATCTCATAGGTCACCATGTCTGTTACAAATTACTTTGAACTTAGGTATAATGCTGCCAAAAATTGTAAATGTTCTGAAAAGTTATTAGATCCACTATTCCATTAAAAAAAAAATAGCTGCATGCAAAATAGAAATAAAACACAGTACTTTTACAATAATTGCTTTTTGTTTCTCTCTTCTAGCCCATATTTTTTTAAAAAAACCTCTCATACTAAAAAAAAACCCCACAATAATACTACAAAGCAGAATCCTGTATTTCTAGTCTTGCGTGGTCCTTCTTTTCATTGCTTCCCACTTTTTCCATTTCCCATTTATCAAGGGGCAATTATTTCTGGATTACCACACAGCCTCCATTCCCCTCACATCTCTTCTTCTTCACTCTCTGTTGAAATTACTTGGCAGCTGAATTGCCCAAGGAGTCTGTGGTATTTTAATCGAACTGGTTCAAGAATAATTTCTTAACAAGGGAAAGTGAACTTCGCTCAAAAGGTTTAACTTCTTGAGCCCAAGCTTAATACTATTGACAAAGTACCATTCTTAACGCATAAAATGAAGACCCAGATTGTTGGGGGCAACATGCTTTCTAAACAGCTTAGAGAGCGGCTGTAAAGAATTGTGAAGCATAAGTCTAAGTGCTTCGTTGCTATATTTCTCCGTTATGTTGTAATTAAGCTAAGTAATTGCTGTTAAGATTGTAATTATATTGGTACGTTCCACACACTCCGGGAAACTATCTAATCCGGGAATCAGAACTCCGCTTTGCAATTCCCCTTTCGTGCAGAAGCCAGTGAAAACGCAGAGAGGAACATTTCATTAAGGCTTACCGAACTTGCGCTGCTTCTTGGCAACTTAAAGCACCTCCAGTCTCTTTGGAATTTCACGTGGAATTCGAGGCGCGGGATCCTGCATCGTCCATAGTCAAATGTGCGGACGTGCCGGAGCGCACTTCTTTTCTCCGTGACGCGGGGAGAATTCGGCTGCTCCTCGCCAAGATGCTCCCGTTACAGTCCTGCCTTCTCCATCCCGCCTTCTTCGACAGCCATCCAGAGGCGCCCTGCTGGCTCCCCCGCCGGGGCACTCACGCCCTCCGCCCGTCCCGCTTTCATCTCTTCTCGCCCTCCGGTTGGACTTTGGCAGAAATCCCTCCTCTTGATGATGTCCCTCCCTCCCCCCCCCCTCCGGAACAGCTGCCCTCTGCCGGAGGCGAGAAAGACTATCAATAGGGCTGTAGTGATGTGGCAAGTAACCGGGAGGCGGAGTGGTCGGATGTGGAAGATCCTCCAGGGACACAGCAGCACCCACAGATCGGCTTGAAAGCCTCGGATTTCAGCTACCTCTCCCGTCGCAGATTCCGAAGAAGCACAAACGAAGGATCCCAATGCTGCGAAACTCAGAGAATATCTCTGAGAGTTTCCAACCAGTTGTTTCAGAGCTTACACACACAGAGAGACACAAACGCTCCTGCTCTCTCTCCCCCCCCCCCGCCCCATTTAGGACTGTTTTTAGCTCTTCCCTGAGAAACCACACATTCCTGTTTGCATTAATAAACACTTCAATACAATCACCATTGGGCAGAGAACATTAGTCAAATTTAGTTTCATAGACAATTTTTCTACAGTGCTAAGTCACCAAAAGCCTTTAATTTGGGCAAGCTGGTTCCATAATGTCATAAAAGGGGTAGGGGGGAAGAAGCAGGCAGATATACAGAAGATGCTGCTAAAATTAGATGAAGTTAGTCAGCAAGGAGAAACAAATGACCCATTCTTATTTTTCAGATCAATAATCTGCAGGCACTTCATGGACATACCGTATATTTGCAATGACTCCCTGAAATTCCATTGCTGTAGACAGAACAATGTTCCTATTAGTAACTTGGAATAATTCTAAAATCATCCAATCACTATTGTGCCAAAAACACAGTAATGACAATTACCTTTATATCATCTCAAAGGTGGCAGAGCGATGCCACGAAGACATTGTAAGCCACCATTGGGAAAATGGTACAAGAGTGTCCTATTCTTGATCAATTATTTTTGCAAATGTAATTCAATCCCTTATGTTTTATATGTAAATCTTTAAGAACACTGACAGAGAATCAATGCACAAAGCAACTTTCAGAAAATACTAAAAGTATTTGCAAATATGCAGAGATGTCTTAGACAAAAGTCCCCACATCATAGTGCTTTTAAAAAACCGTTTTTCTCTTTTTGCCCAGAGTTAATTTAAAGGTTAATTTTCTTCTGGTTTTTGTATTTCATTAATAACAGACAACATACAGAGTACTTTCAGATGAACTGTGTAATCCTCAATTATAAATTTTACAAGGAGTCCAAATATAATCATTTTCCCATTATAACCGTTTCTCGTGTTTTCTATTAAAAAAATCCTTTTCCTACCCAGTGAATCCCCCAAGGGGAAAAAAAGAGGTAAGAAAGTACCAGGAAGCCTACCTAATGAGCATCAAAATCACTATTATATCTTTTGTAAAAAAAAAATGTCAGTAGAAATAAGAAAAGGTTGGGACTTGTGACAAAGTATTCTAGAATGAAATATTTCTGTTCAGGATTTGAGTGACATAACTATTGCTCTCTTCTAAAATTTTGTTCATTTTGTTCAAAATTTTGTCTGGTTTCCTGTTTTTTTCAGAGCTGCAGTTACATGAGTGATGCCGGTTTGCTTCCATAAGCAATAACAATTATGCTTAATATGTGGAAATAAAAGAAACATAGTTACCCTTCAAAAATGTTGCAGTGTAAAATTGTTCTGTTAGGATTGCTGTATATTCTCAGTTTTTCCTTCCTTCCTTCCTTCTCTTTTTCTCCCTCCCTCCTTCCCTCCCCCCTTTCTTCCTCCTTCCCTCTCTCCCTCCCTCTCTCTGCAGCATTCAGTGCCCTAACATACTTTCCTCCCAAGGTCAGTTCTTTTGCTCTGTCTCTTCAACTACTTTTTCCACTATAGTTAAAGACACATACCAGTGTCCATGCATTATTCCCCTGGGTTAGCTTTCACTTTAATCTTATGATTCATTTAATGATTTGGTTTGTTTTCATTATGAACCAAAAATAACTTATCCAGATAATTAGAAGAGGTGTGGAAGCTAAATTATGCAATGAATGGCTGAAGGAGCTAGGTATGTTTAGCCTAACAAAGAGAAAACTTGGGGAGGAGGGTGACATGATAACATCTACCAACAGTTGAAGGGGCTGTCACAGGGAAGAGGATCTCAATTTATTCTCCATAGCACTTGAGGACAGAACAAGAAGCAATGGGTGAAAGTTCATCAGAGGGAGACTCAAACTGGAAATAAGAAGGAATTTCCTGACAGAACAATTAACAATGGAACAGCTTGGAGTTATAGGTGCTCTATCACTGGAGGTTTTCAAGAAAGATTGGGCAACCATTTGTCTGGGATAGTATAAGGACTGTTGCCTTGGGCAGGGGGTTGTACTAGAAAAGTTTCCCTTCCAGCCCTATGTGATTCTAAGGTTCACTCTTCCCTTTTAATATTTATATATTCCCCAATCATTTTTCAATCACTCCTTGCTCATTCTATTTTCATTTCTCATCCTATCCTAGTCCACACACACACACACCACACACAAAATCTCATTAGTTTCCAAGATTATTGATAATCGCTCAGTTGTGTAGAAAGTTAGCACCCAACCCTCTCCTAGAAGAAATAGGAAATATTTAAAAAGGCAGAATATTATATTTCACTGGATGAGAAAAGAAGAAACATGTTTTTAAAGACAAAGAGCAACTCCCTGCCCCCTAGCAGATATTTGGTGCACTTTAAGACTGTGCCAGCCTATCTACAACACAAAAGGCTTCATCTGCAAGATGATGGGATTATTCTTCAGAGCAAAGCTATTCAGCCACAATAGGAACTACATTACATCAGCCCAAGGTTCCACCAAACTTGATTCAGACAAACATGATTGAACATGGAAATCTTACTACAGCAACCAATAGAATACATGCTCTTGCCACAGGACAGGAAGCTCAAGGGCAAGGTCCAAGAGAGGGTATAAATAACCCTCACTCTGCATTCCATATGGTCAGCTACCCAAAATCACACATGCTTGGTAAGTTTGCTTTACCATTAAACCATATTTCCAATCAGCCTCCATATTTCCAGTGTCTTTCCCCCACTTGGAACTGAACCCAGATGGACATTTCTTTGAACAGTTGCTTGTGTTATCTTTTTGAGTATATAAACATGAGTAATCAAATAGAATTATAGTGATAACAATAATATTTTTAACTCAGGATGCTTTCTTTTAAAACTATACAAGAACATTGTATGCACTGATCTATTTTTGCAGAATTAGAAAAAAGTAGTCCCATTTATTTAAAATTATTTGGCTAGGAAGAAAAATCAATGCCACTTTGCAGTAAAGTCATGTTCTGCTGCCTATCGTACCAATTGAAGAGGGCTATATTTGGCAGAGGAAAAAAAATGCTTATCTAGGATTATGCAAAAATTGTCTCCAAAATGATACAAAGCCCTACAAATGCTTGTAAACCTTAGGAGCAGTGGAATTGATGTGCAAATGAAAAGACACATTCTGGCAAAATTAATGTCTGGCATTAGCTAATATTTTTCAAACATCTACGTAAATAAATCCCATTTCACCATTTTACATGATTGTCCTAAACTATATGTTTATTGATCAAATGTCTATAACTGTCCATCTTCATACAAAACACTGGGTGCTCATAAACAATTAAAAAGTAGTATAAAAACTGCAGATCAATATTAGTAAAAACATATAAATCATAACATGAAATTAATAGTTGAGGTAACCATCTCCAAACATACTAGTCAATGTAGCCACTCCACTGGTTCTACCATATTCCTATTACCAAACTCATTGACAACACCATGTTTTAAGGCCTTGAGAAAAACCAGTAAGAATGGGGCCAATCTGATCCTCAGGGGAATATATTCCATAGGATGGTATCCTTGAGAGAAAAAGCTCTCTTCCTGGGCTCCACAGGATGGTAACTCGAGCATGGCTGTACTTGTCAAACCTGATGGAACAGGTAAGTATGATTGGAGAGATGGCCCTTCAAATAATTTGATCCCATGCTGTAGAATTCACCATCTTGAATTGCATCCAGAAACAGACTGGCAACCAATGCAACCAACGGAGCAGAGACATAGCATGCACCAATTGTGGGAGGTATATAACTGCCTGCACAGCTGCATTTTAAACCACTTGAAGTTTCAAATTCTCAAAAGTAACCCCGTGTAGCATATTGCAGTAATCCAAAAGACAAGTAAGAAAGGTGTGAATGACTGTGAGTAGAGCTCCCAGTTCAGGAATAGATGTAATTGATGTACAATACATATTGTAGTTGTGGAAATATCTTTCCAGTGGCTGCCATCTATTCCTCAAATAGGAGCCATTAAAAGGGCCCCTGAATTGTGCACAGGTTGTGTTTGGGGCAGTACAAAGTCATTCAAGAGATGGAAAATTGTTAGCACCAGAGCACCCAAAGCCATTAATTCTTGCTTGGGTTCAGATGAAAATCAGTTGTTTCCCACCCAAACCCCCAGAGCTGACAGATATAGAATCTTCACAGCATCACATACTGTAATTGTTATGCGTAGAAATGTAGAGTATCATTAGCATATTGATACTTTACTCTGTACCATTAGATAACACCCAGTAGATTCATTTAGATGCTAAACAGGAATGAAGAAACTACTAACCCCTGAGGCAAAGCAGGGTCTTAGGAAAGGACCCTTTCCCCTATTCCAGTGTTGACTGAGACAAGCCCTGGAGAAAAGAAGAAAATCACCACAGCAAAAAATTACCCACTCTCAAATCCTGAAGTCAAACTAGTATACTATGGTTGATGGTATTTGAAGTAAGCAAGAAATCAAGAAGAGCAAAGATGGTAATTACCTTCATCCTAT